GAGTTCATTTCCAGTTTTATTCCACTGTAGTCTGAGAGAGTGCTTGATATAATTTCATTTACTTAAATTTATTGGTTCTTGTTTTATGGCCTATCATATGGTCTATCTTGGAGAAAGTTCCATGGGCTGTTGAATAGAATGTGTATTACGTGGTTGTCAGATGAAATCTTCTGTATATATCTGTTAAGTCCATTTGTTCCAAGGTATAGTTTAAATCCATTGTTTCTTTGCTGACTCTCTGTCTTGATGACCTGTCTAGTGCTGTCAGTGGAATATTAAAGTCCCCCACTATTATTGTGTTGCTGCCTATCTCATTTATTAGGTCTGTTAATAATTGTTGTATACATTTGGGAGCTCCAGTGTTAAGTGCATATATGTTTAGAATTGTGATATTTTCCTGTTGAACAAGACCTTTTACCATTATATAATGTCCCTCTTTGTCTCTTTTAACTGCTGTTGCTTTAAAGTTTGTTTTGTCTGATATAAGAGTAGGTACTCCTGCTGGCTTTTGTTGTCCATTTGCATGAAATGCCTTTTTCTACCCCTCTACTTTAAGTAAAGTCTTTAAGTCTTTTAAGTGTTAGGTGAGGTTCCTGAAGGCAGTAGATGGTTGGTTGATGAGTTCTTACCCATTGTGTAGTTCTCTATCTTTTAAGAGGAGCATTTAGTCCTTAACATTTACATTCAATGTTAGTATTGAAATGTGAAGTACCATTGCATTCATCGTGCTCTTTGTTGCCTGTGTACTTTGGGTTTTTGTTTGTTTGTTTTTGCTTTTTAACTTGCATTTTTTTTAATAGGCCCTATGTGATTTACATGCTTTAAAGACGTTCTGTTTCGATGTGTTTCAGGATTTGTTTCAAGATTTAGAGCTTCTTTTAGCAGTTCTTGTAGTGGTGTCTGGGTAATGGCGAATTCTCTCAGCATTTGTTTGTCTGAAAAAAACTATATCTTACCTTCGTATATGATGCTTAGTTTCACTGGATACAAATTCTTGGCTGGTAATCATTTTGTTTAAGGAGGCTGAAGATAGGGCTCCAATCCCTTCTAGCTTGTAGGGTTTCTGCTGAGAAATCTGCTGTTAACCTGATAGGTTTTCCTCTATAGGTTACCTGGTGCTTTTGTCTCACAGCTCTTTAGATTCTTTCCTTCATCTTAACTTGAAATGGTTTTCTTTTAATCTACCTAATCTTTTCAGTTGTACTTACTAACATGTTAGCCATTCTCCCCGTTCAACTCTTTTTCTGCCTCTTTTTGGATTAATATAGTAATTTTTACTTTATTTTTCTTCCTCTACTGCTTTTTCTCTAGTGGTTGTCCTAAGAGTTACCATATCTAACTTTAATATAGTTTAGTTTACCTTCAAATAACTTTATGAGAATCAAACCACAATATTCTTCTAATTTCTCTCTCATTTTTTGTACGATTTTTGTTATGAATTTTGTTTTACATACAATAAAATGATAATAGTTTTTAGACAGTCAACTAACTCTAACTCTTTATTTGGATATGACTATAGATTTAGATACAATTGTAAGAAATAATAAAGACCATGTATGTGCACATTACAGTTTCTCCCATTGGTAGCATATTGCAAAAGTACAGTAGAAAATTTTAACCAGAATATCAACCTTGATACAGTCAAAAGACAAAACACCTCCGTCACCACATTGATCCCTCGTGTTGCCTTTTTGTAGCTACAACCACTTATATTCCTGCACCAAATCCCTCGATAACCCCTGACAATCACTAATCTGTTTTCCATGTCTATCATTTTATTATTTCAAGAATGTTATATAAATGGAGCAATATATGTAACTAGCTGGGATTGGCTTTCTCCCTTCAGAATAATTCTCTGAAGATTCATTCAGATTGTCACATTCATTAGTAGTTTGTTCCTTTTGATTGTTGAGTCGTATTCTGTGGTATGGATGTACAACAGTTCATTTAACATTTGCCAAATGAAGGAAACCTTGGTTGCTCAGTTTTGGGGCTATTACAAATAAAACTTTTATAAACATTCATCTACCGGTTTTTGTGTGTAAATAATCTTTGTTTCTCCGGAATAAATGCCCAAGAGTGCAGTCTGTTGGTGGGTCTTGTGGTAGTTGCATGTCTAGATTTTTAAGAAAGTGACAAACTCTTTTCCAGAGTGGCCATACCGTTTTACATTCTCACTATCAATGTATGAGTGATTCTGTTTTTCTTCATCCTTGCAAATGTTTGGTGCCTTAGGACTATATTTTATTTTAGCCATTCAGATAGCAGTATAGCGTATCTCATCGTGGTTTCAGGTTTTAATTTATAGTTCTTTAACTGCTAATGTTGAACATCATTTTTATGCACTCATTTGTCATATATGTATCTATTCTCTCTGGTGAAAAGTCTCTTTGTATCTTTTGTCCATATTCTAATTGGGCGGTTTGCTTTTATTACTGTTAAGTTTTGAGAGTTCCTCATATATCCTAGGTACTAGCCCACTGTAAGATATGTATTTAGTAAATATTTACTCCCAGTTTGTAGCTTGTCTTTCCACACTTTTAGTAAAATCTTTAGTAGAGAAGTCTTTGTTTGAAGCTCCATTTATCATTTTTTCCTTATATAGATTGTGCTTTTTGTGTCAGTTCTAAGATCCCAATGCCTAACCTTAGGTATCAAAGATTTTCTCCTATATTTTTTCCCCTAGAGGTTTTATAATTATGTATTTTACGTTTAAGTCTGTGAACCCTTTTGAGTTAATTTTTGAGTAAGGTATAAGACTCAGCTAAGAAAGGTTTTTTTTCTTGTTGGTTTTTCATTTTCAGTTTTGCTCATGAGTTTTCACTCTCTCCAGAACCATTTGTTGTAAAGGTTCTCTTCTCTCCGTGGAACTGCTTTTGGACTTTTATCAAAAATAAGTTGGACAAATTTGTGTGGGTTTATTTTTGCTCCCTCTATTCTTTTTCATTAATTTGTCTTGTATGCATAATATTTATAAATATATTAATATACTAGAGAAAATTTTATAATTTTAAATGTTGTCAAAACATGATTTTTTTCTGCTACTATTATAAAGACTTACTTCTAACCTAAGATCCGATATTCACCTACGTTTTTCTTTATTTTCTTTTATGTTTTATAATTAATTTAGAGAATTTTTAACTTGGTAGTTTTTTAATTATATGCATAATATATTTCTGTTAATAAACATAACATCTAATTCAAAAGATGCGTTCATGCCTATATTCTCATATATTCTGGAAAACCAATTTATACTGTTATGCATAGCATAAACATACTAAAAGAAAAATAATTGGCTAATGTAGACTAAAAACAAAACCGTATGTGTATATATATTTGTGTGATGGGGTGAGGGAGTGCATGCATTTGTTGACACACTACAACATCCATAAGCTTAACCTCTGATCTCATGCATACAATAGGCTGCTTAGGTCTATGCCCATTCCTTCACTAATTCATTTACCAGTGTATTTCATATTTATTATTTTACTTAATAAGTATTGCCTCAAGTGGCTCATTTGTTCCATATCCAGAGAATATAGCAATGAACCCAGTGTGTACCACTAAACACTGACTTTGCTCTTGTGTAGTTATCATGTTGAGAAAGACTCCATTCTACCCTTTTGTTCTGTGGTTTATAAATGGCAGACATACAAAATGCTGATGCCACTTGCAATTTCTACTAGGTTGTCACTTAAGAGATTAAGAATATGCCTCACTAGAAGTGGGGTAGTATTATAAAAGCATCTTAATTCTTTTCTCTCCCTAGTTTCTCAGATGGACTAGGGATATTAGACCTGCACAAGGTAGGGAATGTCTAAATTGGATATTGAAGAGTAACTAGAATTGTAGTAGATAGACATTGAAGTTAAAGGTTTCCCGGGTAAGGGCAGCAACATTAAAGGCATAAGACTTTGGACTTTGGTGGTGCTTCCGTGAAAGACAGGGTTGTGCAGTGAGAGCCTGTGGCCAATGGGAGGTGGGGCAGAGAAGATGGAGACTTCTGTCAGCACCGAAGATCCAAAATGCAGAGTCAGAGTATGCAGTATGAACTTGGCAAGGATTGTGAACAACTTTCTGAAGCAACAGTAACAAGCCCTCTTGCAAATGATCCTTTCTGTACTCATTTAGACCTATATAAGAAAAGCAATATTTTTTTGAATCTAGAATAGACTTGATTTAAATAACTGACAAAATGGCACAGAAAAGCAAATTAAGGACCAGTCTCACAAATAATGAGAAAAACAATACAAATTAAAAATGTAATAAAGTTAAACAAAATTTAAAAAAGAATAACCCTGAGCAATCAAGTCTAGAGTATAGACTTGAGGAGTACCTTAAGAGATCAAAGGATAAAAACGATGTGAAGACCTAAATAAATGCAAAAAGAAATGGGCATGTGGCTCACACCTGTAATCCTAGCACTTTGGGAGGCCGAGGCTGGCAGATCACAAGGTCAGGAGATCGAGACCATCCTGGCTAACACGGTGAAACCTCGTCTCTACTAAAAATACAAAAAATTATCCAGTTGTGGGGGCACGCAACTGTAATCCTAGCTACTTGGGAGGCTGAGGCAAGAGAATCTCTTGAACCTGGGAGGCGACGGTTGCAGTGAGCCGACATCATCATGCCACTGCACTCCAGCCTGGGTGACAGAGTGAGACTCTGTCTCAAAAAACAAAGAAAAACAAACAAGACAAAACAAAACAATAAAAACCTGAGATTTCTTTCTGATTTAAAACAAAGGAATAAAACTTGATAGAAAAAGAAAAAGCAGATATTCCACAGCAATATTATGTGTGTGTGTGTGTGTGTTTGTGTGTGTGTATAAATGTATGTATTTAATATATAGACTGGCCAAAGTCAAGGCTGATGGTTGATGTCAACAACAGAAAACAGACTAAAGGCTTATAGAATAATTATGGAAAGTTATTTTAGAATGTTTATTTTGTAATTAAAAACTATTAATGTCACATTTTAAGTATGACTTCACGTTGTAGGGGCAGTAATTTCCAGGACTCTCCGCAGCCAGATCACACTTGTGGCCACAACACCGGATACTTGCAATACCATGCAGGCTTTTGCGCCTGAGGCCATTAGAGATATTTGGGGCAGTATCTTGATTTCTCTAAACTTTTTTCCTTCCTTTATGTCCTTACGTCTGGAATTTACATGATTCATTATGGATGCTATTGTACATAATTTTGACATTGATTTTGATTTTTCTTTCTTGTGAAATTTTGAATGAGCAAAGTTGACATTCTGCTTTTAATGCATCCTAATAAGAAGTCACAAATTCTCTAAATATACTTTTATTTGGAGGATGCCTGTTCTAAATGAATTTAAATAGCTAAAGATAAATACAGTTCCTAAAGTTTACTTTGGCTAATATAAATGTTAGCACAAAAGAATTTTATGAAGTTTGGAATTATGATATGCTTTTATTGTTTCAGTTGCATTTCAAAAGAATTTACAGTTCTTGGCCTAAAAATGGTCTAACTAAATAATCCACTCTTCATATTTATAATAACTATTAATCTATTTTATTAATCATGGGCAAGCTTTTAATAATTACTTTTTCACATAAAATAACTCATAATCATTAATTATTGCACCATTTAAAAACTATAGTTAATAATATTGTATTGTATACTTGAAATATGCTAAGAGAGTTGATCCTAAGTGTTTTGTGTCTCATCAGGCACAAAAAAATTGTAACTATGTGAGGAGATATGTTAATTAGCTTGATTGTGGTAATCATTTCACAATGTATATGTATATCAAAATATCAGGTTGTATACCTTAAATGTATACAATTTTTGCTTCTTAATTATACCTCAGTAAAGCTGGAAAAATATCTTACTATTTTATATGTGACCAGTAGCAGATCAACGTACAAAATATAAAACAAAAAATAAAGCATTTGTTCAAAATAATGCGGAATGCTTATCCTTACAGAAAGTGAATATTAAAAGATATTGCAGCATGTTCAAAAGATACATCTTGTTTGTATTATTGACACTGTTTTGGTTGTTAGATATCGTAGTAGCCTACATGATCATTTGACCACTGATTACACACTAAGGCCAGAAAGCAGCCACTCAGATATTCATTCAGCTTTCCAAAGGCCCCAGGTCAAGACAAAACCAAATTGTCAATATGGGCAGAATATCAGAATCATGGCTGAACATTTGAGCAGCCCTAATGTAAATGCACATGTGTTTGTATGTGTGTATACATGCGGCCACAGATAGATGATAGGTAGGTTAAAAGACAAATGCATCATCTCTTAAAGCTAGTAACGATTTAATGTTGTCGTTTTCTTCTTTAAATGTCTTGCTTAAATGTTTAATTAGAGTTATGTCTAAACAAAAGCCAACATCATGTTCAATAATGAAACGCTAGGATCCCAAATAAACTCAGGACCCATTTAAAGAGGTCCACTCACCATTGTTGTTTAACCAGTCACATTACTTAACCAGAAAGGAAAGTAATGTCGGGTCAGGGCCAAGGTAGTCAAGGGCCTGCCTGGGTAATTCTATGTTGCATGGTCTCTGGGAGCTGAGGGTGTTTGGTCCATTATGGCTGTCAGGACAGCCCATGCTCACTAAGATAATGGAAACCAAAGTCTCACAAAAGAAAATGTAACACTTCAACATTTTCTTATATTTGTTTGTTTATTGTTTTAGAGTTTTTATCTTTCTGTTACACAAGAAATGGAGCTTTAGGTTCACATTAAGTATGAAATACATAGAGCAAAATTCTTGCTACAGCCATTTTGTAAAATAATGATCAATATTTGTACCAAATGCTTCTCTCGTTTATTCCTCACACAAAAAAATTACATGCAACATGAATTAGTAAGTTACATTTCATAGATAAGGAAATCAAAGCTACAATTTGCCCAACATCTCACCATAGTTAAGCACAGACTATCATACTTCAAATCTGCATCTTCCCTACTCTTCCCTGATGCCCGTTGGTCATATTAGCACCTGTTTTCCTTGGCACAAGGTCTGCATAGCTTAGTAGAGCAATGAGGTCCCTGAAAGTCAGAGGATTTGCTGGGGTTTATGCCAGAGCAAAGTTCCATTCATTTCTCAAGACACTTGCTCGGTGCAGCACCTGACTTTATCCTAGAGCAGAGGCTATCACTCTGGCAGCCCAGCAACCACACTAAGTTCAGCCTCTGCACAGCCCTGGACTTCTTCCGCCCTCTCTTCATTTCTGTAATTACCTCTAAATTTAACACACGGTCATTAATGATGGTGCCTATGAGAATGTGATAATATTTTCCTTCCTTTATTGGATAAATCCGTCTGCCTGTCTTTCCCTACATTTTTAACAAGTGCAGCCTTAGATAGCAAACCATGGTTTTTTTTTTTTTCCTGACCCCGGCTTCCATGCAAAGCTTCTGGCTTTCTCTATTCTAAAGTTCACTGAAGTATTTTTCTGCTTTCCTGCAGTTTTTAAGTAGATAATAAGTTCCAAAATTCACCAGCCTTTCGCTGAAAGAAGCTTGTCACGGTGGTTGGTAGCTAATGAAGGCCCCTTTAGTTTATCTTCATCAATTGTCAAATATTTGAGTCCGTGAAGTGGTGTGATGAGGTACAAAGACAGATATTTGAAGGGATTTTAACTCATTTGAGCAATTACATGCTTAACTGCCCTGCAATAATCTGTCAGTCTGAGTCTTTTCTACACAGCACAAGTGGGGAGCGTTAGAATAGCTGGATTTAGAACATAAAGGCTTACTCTGAATGGAAGAAAGGCACCAGAGAGATTAATTGCCAGTAACAAACAGCAGGGCTGCTTGCAAGTTATATATCACATAGTTACCTACCAGCAGTGATGGGGGCCAGCTCACAGAGAGCAGCCCGGGTAGGGACAAAACAACCTCTGCACAGAATCCTGAGCACTGCCACCAATTTGCAGGGAGGTAGAGAATTCCATTTCTACAAAGCGTATACTTGCATGTAACATACACATACATTCACACATGCAATAAAAGCATATTATTGAAAAGTAGCAGCTTTTATGGACAAACTCATGAATTCAGAGGCTCCTTCTAGGGTTGTTCATCTAATAGTCAACTGAGATGACTAACCCATCATTCCCACATGATAACAGTGTGATTTATTCAAGTATTACAAATTAAAATAAATTGTAATGACCAGAAAGCCAAAAATGATTTTGAAAAAGAACAAATCACTAGCTGATTTAAAAACTTACCATAAGCCACAGTCAGCAAGACAGTGTCGTGTTGGTATAACTATAGACATACAGACCAATGGAACAGAATAAAATCTCTACATAAAATAAAAATTTCATGAACAAATTTCCAGGCTAAAAGAACAAATATTAGGGAAATGGGCTTTTGTTATTGTTGTTGCAGTTGTTACTGAATGTTGACTTATTTTTTGCTACCCTTTCTGGACTCCTGTTTGCTGTGTTGTTTTTCCAGCAGGAGACATCTAAAACAATACCATGTTCATTATATTTATAGATTATGATGTAGGATGAGATATTCTTCCACTTACTCATGTGTGCATTCACTAATTCACTTGTTTATTCATTGACCTAATATTTCCTAAGTATCCCTTGAAGCTCATTTAGAGGAGATAAAGAGTGTGCTTAGGATGGGGTTCTGGAGACCATGTGTAAAGAAGGTGACATCTAAGGGGTTTTTGAAGACTGGCAGAATACCTAGACAGGTGAGGAGGGACAGACATTTCATGTGGAGCAAAAAGCATGAGCAAAACATGGTAAAAAGAACACTATGGCTTAGATATAAGGAGTATCTACCTTGGGAGGCCAAGCTGTGGAAACATGATTAGAAAGGCAGGTTAGAGGCAGAGCATGAAGGGCCTTTAGTGGCACATCAAAGAGGTTTTACTTAACCTGTCGCTGAGGATCCAGCATGGGAAGGTTTGGGGGTAACAACTATGCTTTAAGAAGGTCTACCTGAAAGAAATTATGTGAGAAGAAAAAAAACTAAACCAGCAAAATAGCTTTATTGGTATCCCAAGCAAACACATAATGATAGAGTTGTACATTAGGAAAGGAGGGATAGAGAGAAGGAAGGATAGTTGGAATTAACAGGACTTGTCCTCTGCTTGGATATGGTGAATGGTAAAGAGGAAAGCATAGAAGATGGCTCCAGGTTTTGAGTCAAGGTGTTAGAGAGGGGAATTGGTGCCATCAAAAAGGAGGACTCAAGGGAGAGGGATGAAGGGCAGATCTGAACAAGAAGATGACTGTGTTCTTTCAGACAAATAGTGTCCGTGGTAGCTGTTCTGGTCCACAGTAGATCAGAAGGCAGAGTTAAGGCTCTAAACAGTGCTCATGGCCCAGGACACAGGTCTCCTGTTGTCTGCACCAGCATCATGGTTGAAACCTGGAGTCTGGGTGAGATGGTCAGGGGCAAGCACAGAACGGGGAGTTCCATGGGGACCCACTGCCTAAGGGAAGAGAGTGGCACACTGATCGTTGGCAACTCTTTCCTCTGTGCAAATCGTGAACTGAGGGCTTGGAAATGCATTCCATTATCTCATGTAAAATCCACTGCCACTCTGCAAGACTCACCTTTATTCCTATGTGGTCAGTATGTGTCATAACCAGGTCTGGCCTGACTTTGAAGGATGAAGAGGCAGGTAAAAAGGAGAGTGAGAGAGAAAATAAGAGGAAAGCTCATCTGTGGAAAAATTGGTAGCCTTTCATATATGAAGCTATTTTCCTTCTGTGTGCTTCAGTTTCCTTCTCTCAAAACATGTGACAGCCTCACAGATGAGAATGGGTGAATGAAAGGATCACATTCACCAGTAAGGAGCTACTTGGTCCATCTCTAGAAAATAATGCAGAATAGATGTGCAAAATGAGAAAATTGTCATCCCGAGTTGTGCACTTTTTACTGCCATTCTTGAGTCATCTAAATTTTCAAGATTCTATTTGTGTACCTGTTGGTTAGCATATAGTTGTTGCTGAGTACATCTTTATTAAATGAATCAGTTGATACACAAAAGGCTCAACAACCATATCTATATGCCTTTGGGCTTAAAGTGTGGATTTAGACCAGGAAGAAATTAAGATCAGTAATAAAAGTGCACCATAGACAGTTTCTTGGCTGTCTCCATAGGAGGTGGCAGGATGAGTGGTGGTGGATGGCCAGGGATTTGCTGTTTCTAAGGAAGAAGTGAAAGGTCTACATTAGAAGAAAAAGCCCTAGAGAGGAATTTAATCATATAAGAAGGTAGAGAAGCATCATTTTTTTTTTCAGCCAGGAAGTGTATATAATGAATCAAACCATTCCCAAGGTATTCATCAAATGGTATTTGATCCCTGTTATTTAAGAGACAATGGGACGTCCAATAATAGCACACTTCTGGATTTGCTCACCCACTGGAGAGATAAATCTTTGCTTTTCCACCCATGATTCGCATCCAGTCCCATTTGGGGGCAACGTATTTGGAGCCAGCTTGCCAGCATTAGGAAGGAATTTGTAACACTGGAACTTACTAGAAAAGTGGCCCATCTAGATATTGCCTGGATGACAGATTTTTCCTAACTAGCCATGTGTTCCATATATAATGTAGTAATGACTGCACAAAAAGCACTAGTGTAATCATTCTCTTCTCTCCTTCCTCCATCCCTCCCACAAGCAAGTACTAAGCAACCAATTCCTGCTCCCAGAGCTATGGAAGAACTCCCAACAACAAACGGCATGGATGAAGACCTCCCTTTCCCCAGCTAGGTTTAATGATTTTTAGTCCAAAGCAGCCCAATCCAAGCTAAAATTTTTCAGAAGTGCCAACTTCACCCTAGCATGCCATTAAACATCACATGGTGCTCTTTAATATATTCATCCATTTTAATAGAAAAATGCATGGTTTCCAAAATATTTGCATGAAATGGTGCTCTCACTTTGCCATACAACTTGGCACCACACATTCCTAGACTGGCTGCACCCCAATTTGAGAAGCACGTTCTTGTGAAAGAGA